ATCTGCTCTAGTTGAATATGGATTTGATTAGAAGGAAGAAGTCATTAGCACCCAGGATGGATTAGGTGTCAGGGGAAGGGAAACTTCTCTTACATACTACTTGCATAGCAATAGTATTTAATTGATTAGCCAATTAAAATGCAAAATATTAATTAAATCACCCATAATTTATCACACACACAAAAAGAAAATCTCAGCAAACGTACATGGTAAAGCATTCTACCTATTTGTTTTGTGAAGTGGGAATGTAAGGTACAAACATTACAATGAGAAGAGAGTTGTGTCCCCCTGACCTGGCACTGAGTGAATCTAAGAAGTATGTCAGTGTTCCAAATTCTTACAGTCAGCTCATGCCTCAAAAGATATTCTGTTCCTTTGGGGAGACGGCAATAATATTGAAAGGCTATTTTGAGAGTCAAAAGTATATTGCTAAAAATGTACTGAAATGAGTTTCTTGGAGGGGAAATGCAGGGAAGAAAGATGTTCTTAACTGTGGGATAGATGATAAAAGCACACACCCAGAGACAAAACCAGAGGCATTAAAATGGTGGGTGGAATATAGAAATGCACTGAGAAGTGAATTCCTGAATAGAAAGGAAATTGTTTGGACACTGGAATCCCGCTTAAAAGAATCTTCCTTTTTCGGCTAGGCATATTCATGGTTGTATATTCACAGGAATCAGTGTTAGGCATGAGAAAAAGTAAATTCAGCAGAAAACCTAGCATCATTGAAGAATAAAAAACAGCTTTGTGAGACCTGCTGTATTAAATTATGCAATAAAGAATTTTTAAAAAAGGCATTGAATACTGAATACTGAAATTGATTTTTCAGTAAGAAGATTTACTTGCTTTATTGAATATTTCTTCTTTTCCTACAGATTAATTATTGGCACAAAAATTAAACAGGGCAATTATTCAATTCTCCATTAATTTAATACCATTGACTTTATATTCTCATTCAAATGGCATTTCTCCCTTACTTTTTGTGTAATATCTAATTTCTATTTAAAATTGCTAATAATTAGGTTAAAATGACTATTTACTTTTCTTGGATTATGATGATATGAATTGTATCAGCAACATAAACATTTTTGTTTCCACTTAAACCTGTTCTTTGGCTGAATTCCATTATCATTGCATTATCACATGTACATTGTTGGTGTGGTGTTCTTGAGGGTTTGGAGAGACATTAGTTGTAATGTCTTCGTTTCTGGTGCAGTAAATAAATTATTTGTAATCACTAGAGTTGTATTGTCAGTTATGCTCAGTTACATCCTCTGATATGCTCTCAGTTAACCCCATGTCCATCAGTGTCTTCCTTTGAAGGGCACACTAGTTCTAGCAGTTAATTTCCCAGCAAATAGCAATTCTGCATTGATTTTGTTTCAGTCATGATCCTTTTTATTGCTGCCAAATGACTCAGATAAAATAGATACTAGATGAGAAAGGAATACTAAGGTAGCAGTCTCTAGATGAATATATCAGCACTGTATCACCCTTCCTAGAATTTATTTAAAATTCCAAACTTTTATTATCTGCATAGTAAGTAGTGTCCACATGAGTACCATATTCGCCTCTCCCAAAAAAACATCAAATACATGTTTTGAACTGCATGGGGAGTTTCTATATCAACCATAGGTTGGGGTTACTTCATAATATTTATCTGATTTCCTATAAAAGATCAGTGTACTGTATTATTTTTTGGGGGGGATACTAACTTGGTTGAAATATCTATAATGATATTTTTGGATCCTAATGAGGTTAGTGACAATTTGTTTATTTATTTAAAACATTTAAATGATGACAAATTGGAGAGTCAGTTTGATGTAGTGATCAAGGCATTAGGGTAGAAATCAGGAGCCTATGAGTTAAGAGTTAAAGCTGTCTGGGTAACTTTGGGCCAGTCATTCTCTCTCAGCCCAACTCCCTTCACAAGGTTGTTTAGGGAGGGATTCTACTGGTTCGGACCAGTTTGGGTGAATCGGTAGCTCTGACAATCAGCTGAGAGTGAACGAGCTCACCCCGATGATCAGATGGCTCCACCCGTGCTATTTTCCTACCTTTATCTTCTCAGCTGATTTGTTCGGCAGAGCAGATTAACGCAGAATTCCTCTGAAGGAACCAGGAAGTTAAGATTTCTCCAAACTGCACACACGCAGCGTGTTCACTAAACCAGTTGTTAAATTGGGAGGATCCCATCACTGGTGGGGGGGGGGAGGAGAAGGAAGGAATATTAGGTATATTTGCTGCCTTGAATTATTTATAAAAATAATAAAGGTTAAATACTAAAATAAATAAAGGACTGTCCGTTTTTAAAACCAAATGCTAGGTGTGTCTCAGCAAAAGTGTAATCCAATATATACAAAGAATAAAAAGAGAGAACAATAAAACCAAAAACACAAAAAACCCTATGCCACTGGACACTCAACTTCCTGGACGTAGCCCACAACATTTATCTCACTGTGAAGAACTGATAAATACTTTCACGTTAATAAGTTAGATTGAAGCCATGTCTTTAGTTAGGTAAAAATCCAAGGAAATTTCTTAGTTGGGAAGAAGACATTTCAAAATTGGTTCGAGGGATTACTTGATCCAATCTTGGTTTTCAGCATTGGTTTAAAATTAAAATATCAGATCAAAGCTGAAGTTTGCATTTATTTATATATACTTAATGCTTTTTATGTTTATTTATTTATGTTTATATAGGTCCATCATATAAATAATAGATACTGATAAAGTAAAACTCATTGTCTAAAAAAGGTTTCTATTCTGAGATGTTTCAAATTCAAAATTCTTTTTTTTTGTTCCAAAGTCTTGCTCCGAAGATTAAGCGTTTTGCCCAAATCTGCAATTGCCATTTGATTAGATTAACATTTCTTGTCAGAACACTTTTAGGCTTTTTTTTTTACCTGCACTTCAAAGGCTAAATTAAAAAGAAGTATTTGCAGACATGTAATACCTGAAATTTTAATGATTATCTAGAGGCTTCAAGTAATTGTTAATTAAATTCGGAGGGAAGGCATGAAGGTAGAGAGATATCGTTTCAGCTTTCACCGGGGACAGTTCATGTTGATATATAGGCGCAGGTATACTCAAAGTACAGAAATATTTGAGAAGTTTTTGTTAGATATAATCTAAATCATTGGTTTACTAAAATGCCATTGCTGTGACAGGACTGCTTCATCCAATTTCAGAAAGACCATTTTGTATTTGGTTAATTCTTTAATTAGGGCAATGGCATTCCCCTAGAAGCCCACACACCCGAGTCCTGTATTTCACGTGCTGTATCTCAACTGCCTGCCATCTCATTAATTGTACACTGTTTTTCTACAGCTTATTGGGCAACTTTTAGCGTACAACCTCTGTAGCTACTTGTGGGATGCTATTAGCTAATTCTAGTAATTTTCCACTGGCAAAGTAGCTTCCTGCTAATTGGCACATTTAGAAAATAAAATGTGTAGATTGCTAGATGCAATGGTTGGTATAACAATTCTGAAAAGATGACAGATCTTCAGATCAGGTTACAGTGCTTCCGTGTTTAAAAATTTTCTTTAAAAACAATACAGTTAGTTAAGCTTTTATTACGGCCTTACATCAATTGAGCATCAGCAACTGAATGCAGCATCTTAGTTATTAATTTAAAAATATGTGCTATTGCAATATTGTAGCTATATATCATTGCAACTCTTATGTGTAAGAATTTTGATCAATATAATATTGGTGCTCTCGGGGGTTATTTGTGTAAAAGTCTGTGTTGTTTTGACTCTAAGCAATGCTAAACACAGCTTCCTGTAGAACTGGAACTTTGCTGTACAAGCTTCACAGTTGTAATACATACTTTTGACATTTTGGGACAATTACCATCAGGATTATCTTCTTGGCTTTTGTATCCCATCTTCTGATATAGATAGTTCTTATTTAGTGATAAGTCCAGAGGAGGTATCATGCTGGCTCAGACCAGTTCACCTGAACCAGTAGCAGAAATCGCGGCTGGGCCTGCCCACCCACCCTGGCTCTATGCCATCCCATTTAGGCACTTTTTTTTAGCCAAAGTGCATGCACGCTCACGTTTACGAACCAGTAGGGAAAGTAAGTGAATACCATCCCTGGATAAGTCACTTAGCAATTGTTAAAAGTTAAAACAGACCCCTCCCCCAAAGGTACTTATGCCTTGATTTTGAAGTTCTGACCAGAACCCTCCCCATCCCTGTGATCAAGTGATTGCATTTTGGACATTTGGCAACCACCTTATAACTTTAATTTCTTTTTTTCCCTTGCACATTCTTCTTTTCCTCTTTTAGATATGTCTTTTATTTACTTTCTGTAAAATTCTCAGTCAATATAAACAAATTTTAGTGAGAGAGTGAATTTGCAAACATGGAATGCATGAATAATAAAGATTGACTGTGTGTGTTTTACAAATTGTAAATAATTCAGAGATACTTATTTTAACAGTCTAATTAGGGGAGGGTTCTGTTATTCACAAATTTCTTTTGAAGTGCACCATATAATCAGCTTAATGATGTCATTGCACAAATGACACAAATGTATGCCATTAATCTGATGATATCTTTAAGCTAATAAAACTACATTGACTTAGAAAAATCCATCCACTGCATGTCAAGTATATTGTTTCAAGGTCTGCTAAATCTTTTGAAGAGATGCATAGTATCAAATTCATTCACACTTAAAAATTCACTTCATGATACTGAGGAAACTAGTACTTAATCTCTCTTGTATAGTGAGTCAGAATGAATTATATCATATGGTTAATCTAAAGGTAAATTAATGCACAGGCAGTTGAGCAAATGCGCAAGTGGTCCAGTTAATGCTTTAATATTGTAGTGGATCATATTTGGGAACAGAACAATGGTTATCAATCTGGAATCTGTAAATATATGAATCAAGTCAGAAGACATAAAATGTCTATTTAATGTAAAGTTCATATTTCTAATGAAGTTGACTCTGGATATAACTTATTCAATGTTTAATCCCTACAGTGAAGATGTCTGCAAACGTGGTTTCACAGTCATCATTGATATGAGGGGATCTAAGTGGGACCTGATCAAACCTCTCCTGAAGACTCTTCAGGAGGCCTTTCCTGCAGAAATTCATGTTGCCCTGATAATCAAGCCTGATAACTTTTGGCAGAAGCAGAAGACAAATTTTGGAAGTTCAAAATTTATCTTTGAGGTAAGATGGAGGAGATTAACTGATTAAGAATCATTATGAAAACTAGCATAGCTTGTTATTTTAGATTACTAATCAAACATTGCTTTGATCAACATTTGTGTAATGCATAGAACATGGATCCGGATTTCTTTTTTGTAAGAAACAGAAGACAAGTTGTAGATCATTGTAGTTGTATATTTCTTTCTCATTCTTTTTTTTCCCCAGAAATTTTTTTAATTTTTGTTTTCTTACATACCATTTTAAGTTTACATTCACATAATTATTCTTTTTTACATTTGTCATTCTTATACATTTATTATTTCATTTAATAGGTTATAATATACAGTTTGGGTTGCTTTATTTACCATCCCTTCATCCTGTTGTAACACCAACTATTTTCCCTTTCTTTTCTCCCTCCCCCCTTTCTCTACTTTCTTCCTTCTTCCTCCCCTTCCTTCTTCCCTTCCCTTTCTCCTACTACTCCTCCTCTACCCCTTCCTATCCTCTCTCCTTCTCTTCCTCTCCCTTTCATCCTCCTCTCCTTACCTCTTTCTTCTTTCCCCCATCCTCTTTTCATTATCTCCTCTTCTCTCCCTTTCTTTTCTATTGTTGTAGGTGTCTCTTTCAAATGTTAGTTTATGTTTCCTTGAGATGGTATTTCCACAAACCCGAATATAATTTGGTATCATTTCTTATTCCCTTACCTTCGCTAATCTATCCTAACTATGTTCCCCACCACTTTATATCTCGCTCTTGAATATATACTTATATATTTAATATTTTCTTTTTTGTTTTCCCCTTCTCCCCCACCCTTTTTCTATTTAATGGTGCATTGTCTGGGTTCTATATCTTAACCCTACTTTCTTTTCTAGTTAACTTTCTCTAACCAATCATAAAATCTTCCCCATGTCTTGAAGTACTCTGATTCCTCTTTATTTTTTATTTTCATTGTAAACCTATTCATCTCTGCACAATCTAACATCTTTTTTATACTTATCTGTTGGTAGTTTATTTAATTTCCAATGTTGGGCAAATACAATTCTTGCTGCTGTAGTTACATGTATAATCAAATAAGCATCCTCTTTCTTGAATTTCTCTGGGATAATACCTAATAAAAAATATCTCTGGTCTAAATTCTATTTCTTGTTGTAACATTTTCTTTAACCATACTCTTATCTTAGTCCAATATTTTCTTGCTTCTGCACATGTGCACCACATCTGATAATAGGAACCATTTGCTTCTTTCCAACATTTTGCTGATTTGTCTTTAAACATCTTTGCTAATTTTCCCAGTGACATGTGCCACCTATAAAACATTTTGTATACATTTTCTTTGTAAGCTGTTGACATGGTTAATTTATAGATCCTTTCCCATAGTTGTTGCCACTTTTCTAGCTCAATTGTGTGGCCAAAATTCTTTGCACGAGTTAACATTGTATCTTTAATCACTTCTTCTACTAGCCTAGTTCTTAATAGATAGCTATATAGTTTATTAATTATTCTTTCTTCCATTTCCGTAAGTATCTTATCCAACTCCGAGCTTCCTAAGTTAAAAGTATACTCCCTTTTATCTTTTTCATATCTTGATTGTATTTGCAATTGTGAAAACCATTCTATATCAATCCCTTGTTTTTCTAATTCTTATTTTTGTTTTAGTTCCCCCCTTTCTGTTAAGATATCTTTGTATCTATTGATATTTTTCATACTACTAATATTTGGATGTGTCAATGCTTCTATTGACACATTGTTGAATGCCACATTGGTATTTCTAAATAGTGTGTCCCTTTCACTCTTTCCCATATTTTTAACAATCCATTCCTTACATAATGTCTTTGAAAATAGCCATGTGCCTTATTTTTACCATACCACAAAAAAGCATGCCAACCTAGTTGCAAATCATGCAAATCTTCTTTCTCATTTTAAAAGAAAACAATATAAATAGTTGCACATGCCCAAATGAACATTCTATCCATAACAATATGCTTGCATGTTGGTGGCTTAACTGTTATGTAGACTGAGCAAAATATATAGGCATAGATCTTTAATGGCAGTCGGTTGAAATTCAAGCGACTCAATTTAGCAGCTACAAGTCATTGAAAAGTCCACTGATACCTGCCAATGTCAACTTGAAAGAAAGATACTGCCCTTAGGCAAAGAGGAAGGATTATAAACAGGAAGTATGTTACTCTGACAGCTACTTCTGCAGAAAAAAAACCTACTCTCTTGAAGAACCCCAGTAATAGCCAGTTTTATGCTCTTATTTTCCCTTCAGGGCCTGTCAATCCCAAATTTTTGGTAAGCAAAAAAAAAAGAGCGGGGTTGACATGTTACTGACAAATTCAGATTTCTGGAGTTTACTGTTAACACTGGAGATGACCCAACAAGCCTCCTTGTCATTAATTCAGGCTTTTTACAAATTACTTTTCTTTCCTCCTGAAAAGACTGAATGAGCAGGCTGTGTTTTGATTGGTTGCATTTGAACTGGAAAGAAATATGACAGCTGATAGGATGTTACCTTGTCCTTGCACATCTTTTCTTCCTTTCTGATGAAGTTTGATAATGTATTCCTATTCATCTCGAACTCCCCAGGGAGAATCTATCTGAATAATAAATGTATCTGCAGAATGCTTTAAACAAAGAAGCCTCCTTTTCTATCTTCATGTTAAAAAGACCAATTATGGCAGGAGAAGAATATTTTGAACAGATTTAAAAACCAAGTGAGAAATTTTCTGCCTTCATTGACATGTCCTATCCTAAATTTAATTAGAATGTAAATGTAAAGAATTAACTGTTTGAATTAACACACACTGCTTATGGTGCATTTTTTAAATACAGTATTATGCCAACTACTGACTCAATATTAATAAAAACAGTGCAGGAATATATCTTAAATAACTGTTTAGTTGTTTTCATGGCTTTCCCCCCCAAGTTTTGTATGCTGTCCAGAGTCTATTGGAATTGGGCATCCTATCTATCTATCTATCTATCTATCTATCTATCTATCTATCTATCTATCTATCTATCTATCTATCTATCTATCTGCTGATTTTTCCAATGAAGCAGAAAATATACAGTATTTGTGCAGTGTTGTTTATGTCCCAGGTAGGGTATGAAAAAAGCATTATCATAGTGCTACAATTTCAAAATTGGTTGACATTTCACTCTTTAGACATGAGGCATTGCATTGCTTCAAGAAGCAACTTTGAAGAATCTTTGCTTAAGGCATTGTTGAAGTGAAACATCCTATCAAAACTTTGCACAGTCTGGATAAAATCATGAGTTATATATCACCTAAGCTAAAAAAAAAAAAATTAACAATAAGAATTTATGGTAAGGAAACCCAGAGCACAAGAACCTGAAAGATCTGGGAAATAAAATGGTTGAAGAGAGAAAGAAAAAAAAATGATCTAATATCTCTACTAGAAAAGGTACTTAGCAGATATATCAAGGTAAGCTAACTTTAAAAAAGTATTTCAACAAAGAAACAATTGGAAGTATGCAGAGCTATGGTCAATGGACTCTAGATTATAAACAATGGAATGGACTCCCTACTCAAGAACTGAGAAATAAGAAGATTCCAGTGGGAGAAGAATAATGAGAAGTATTTGATGTCTGTTTAATAACTATCTATTTCAAGATGGGAGTCTTCAGTGTTATATCAGTCATTCAGTTAAGAGAGTATTCATACCAGAAGACTTAAGGATCAAAGGCAAGAGTTATATTCAGTGTATTAGAAGCTATGAATTCAAGTTCACCAATAGCAATAGCACTTGGACACATAGCATATAGTGTTTTACAGCACTCTCTAACCAGTTTACAGAGTCAGCATGATGATGATGTTCATCCATCATGTTCGAAGAGGACCTTGACATCTATCAGGTTGTGGGCTGTCCACAATATGTCCGCAGGTGGCTGGTAAGGCCTATACAGGCATGAAATGTTCTGCCACATGTCGGGCAGGCATGTGTGGGCACCATTGTGTCACCATTGTGACAGACTCAGCATATTGCCCCTAACAATATGACCTTGGATTTTATTAACCTTGGAAGGATAGAAGGCTGAGTCAACCTTGAACTGATCAGAGTTGAACTTCTGACTGTGAGTCTACCTGCAATACTGTATTCTAACCACTGTATCACCATGGCTCCCAGATGGCTCCTGATATTGTAAAATCCTAAACTCTTCAAGGCCTTAAGGGATGAAAGTAACACTCCAAATTGTACTCACTAAATCACTGGCTGTAAGTGTAATTCTTTCAGTGGAGGAATCATATAATTCATATATTTTGTTCTGTATAGCATTCTAGCTGACACATTTTGTATTAGTTCCAATTTCTGCAAACTCTTCAAGGGTAGCCCAGCATAGATCACACTGTCTAGAGTGCACTGCAAAGATCAAGATGAAATGTAACCAAGGCGTGGATAACTGTTGCCAAGTCTGACCATCTCAAAAATAGATGATGTACTACTGTAATTGATGTAGTAGTCCTAACTGCATAAATGTGCACCATGTCACAGCCATCATGAATTCAATGACAGGTGAGGGTCAAGGGGTATTTTTAAATTGGAAATCATTCCTTTCATGAGGATTGCAAACCAACCAAACTACTCTAAATCTCCATCTCAAAGTCTAATTTTTTATTTATCAAAAAGTAATCATTTTGTCTGGATTTAATCTCAGTACATGATCCAGAACATTTAAGCAATATTCAAGATATGATTGCCTTTTGAAGTTGGATAATAAGGTGCAATATGATTGGATGATTGGGGGGAGGGGGTGTCAAAGTTTTTATTGAATTCCCCCAATTTCAGTTTCAGATACTTTAGATACTGAACAGCATGGAAGGCAAAAATGCAGTCATGCAGGAAACAAGGATACTTTCTAGAAGCAGCATGACAGTAAGGACTAGAGCCATTATAAAACAGTAGTCCTAAATTGCATCTACTTTGCACAGCATTCCCCAAGACAACCAGAGCAGTCTTAATACTTCTCCAAGCTAAAACATCTTGACTGAAAAGGGGCCAGATAATCTCTAAATATATCCTCTGAAACATCATTTTTGGAGGACAAGAACTTGCTTTAAGGGGCAGACTGAGGACTGTATTTGGAAAAGTGTCTATGTACCGGGGGGGGGGGGGACATAAATTAATTTATAATGGTTAGACACAATGAACATGTTATTGTACATAGAGTAATCATTTTGCCTTCTGTCAATTAAAATTACAATTGGGGACAATCTTTTTTGGGCTGTATCAAAAGTTTACAAAGCTACACGAACTTTAGGTTGAACACTCCTGCTGAACATTTATATACGTACATACGTATGTACATACATACATACATACATACATGCATACACACACACAAACACAAACACACACACACATATACACATACAGCATTCATAAGAAGTAGTACCTAGTGTGTGTATTTTGTGAAAAGTTTTCCAGTTTTCCAAATTATTTTTCCAGTTATTCCAGTTTCCCAGTTATCCAGTTTTTCAAATTATCACCCATTGTGAAGACATCCTGAATGTGTATGTGGTCAAAGGTGAGAGGTGAAAATGTACTTTTCATAATATTGGTTGTAGGCATAGGATCCATCCCAAAGGAATTTATGCAGGACAGAAGCAATGCTTCATTTCTTGCTGATTTCTAGTAACACTGATGATGCCACCCCAATCATCATGAGTTCTTTTTCTTACAATGTCCATTTATTTTCCCCTGTGGTTGTGAGAGTCAAGACAAGGCAATTCACAGCCATATTGGAATAGAATGTATATCTGGCTTATCTGACTGTTAAGCATTTTTCCTGCTTAGTCCTTCTCCATCTATACTGTCTGATGAATATCTATGGAGGTTTTCAGTCATCCAGATCATAGTTATATCCCAAAGGTGCTTTTTCAAGAGGCAATTGGTCTTTCTGGTAATGGTAACAAAATGTCTGATGAATAGTCAATGGTATCCTTAATTGTTACAGGATTTCTATATAATTACTTTAAAACTAAATCACTCTCTTTTTTTTAACTCCTTAGACAAGCATGGTCTCCGTTGAAGGTTTAACAAAACTGGTTGATCCCTCCCAACTAACAGAAGAGTTTGAAGGAACTCTGGATTACAATCATGATGAATGGATAGAGTTGAGAGTTTCCTTGGAAGAATTTTTCAATAGTGCCATCCATTTATTATCCAGGCTGGAGGACCTTCAGGAAATGCTGGCTAGGAAAGAATTTCCAGTGGATGTGGAAGGTTCAAGAAGACTAATAGACGAACATACCCAGCTCAAGAAGAAAGTAATCAAAGCTCCAGTGGAAGAATTGGACCGTGAAGGTCAACGATTATTACAATGCATAAGATGCAGTGATGGTTTCTCTGGTAGGAACTGCATTCCTGGCAGTGCAGATTTCCAAAGTCTTGTGCCAAAGATTACCAGCCTTTTAGATAAGCTGCATTCAACACGACAGCACTTGCATCAGATGTGGCATGTCCGTAAGCTGAAACTCGATCAGTGCTTTCAACTTCGACTTTTTGAACAAGATGCAGAAAAGGTAAGATGCCGCCTTTTCTTCTTCTTGGCTATTCCCATGAAATCCAATGGCAATGAGAAAGTTGTAGCCAAATCTTTTTCTCCGATTTACCAAGATGAAAGATTAATCAGGGATATCAATCACAAGTTACTTGTAATGAAAAATCACTGAACTAATAATTGTTGGAATAGCAAGAAGCATTAGAGCCAAAAACTACTCAACTTGTAATTTTTCTGATAAAAGGTGATCTTTATTCAGTATTTCCGAGCTAACGTGACACATCTCAAATTACTTTTTTTTTTCATTTCACCAAACCTGATAATAAAAGTCCATCATAATCAGAACTGTGGAACAATTTCCACTCAGGAGAAGTTGTAAAAAGGAAACGTGAAAAACCAAAGAAAGAAGAATCATATGCGTATTGAGAAACAGGCCCACGGGTATCACAAGTTGCTTGGTTGAGTACATGTGACACCCTGAATCCAAACGTTGTATGTTCACTTTCTAAACCAGGAATGAATAGTCTGCAGTCTTTAGACTGTATGGTGTGAGAGATGTCCACAGGGGGACCTAAAAAAATGAACTTTTGTGAAAAGGGCTATGTAGTGAAAACAAGTGAGCAATATTATCCAGTTTTCCAAATTATCACTCATTGTGAAGGCATCCTGAATGTGCATGTTGATTGAGAGGTGAAAATGTACTTTCATAATATTAGTTGTGGGCATAGGATACATCCCGAAGGAATTACGTGACACAGAGCACTCCTCCTGTGGATATTCCTGTGTTGTGTATAACCTCATTTTTGTATTCTTCAGGGCCACTCCTAGATTGTGGTTCTGTAATTCACCAGTGTGATTTCCATGAGTTATTTACTCAACCCAAAAGCAAAATAGGTACACTAAATCTTCAGTAGGCTTAGAACCCATACTTTATTTAAATTTAAAAAATCTTGATCACTCCTCTCCGAAAAGTGGGTTGAACATGTCGGTCCTGCCTCCTCCAAGTTTATCCCTGCAACATTGTCCCATTCTTTGTGTCACACTTAGAGGCAATGGGGTTTTTGTAAGAACTATGGACATCAGCCTTATCTAAGTGATGAATAGTATAGTTGTTTAACTATGTGTTCTATCATGAGTGTCAGGGAGGTTAATGCTTTAGGTTATCAGAACTGGGCAATTGTCCTGTTTCTAATCAGGGTACATAATACCGGATGGATTATTTTATGCAGTTCACTGAACCATATTTGAACAGAATTTTAAAGTGTATATTAAAAACAAGAGCAAACTGTTACCATTTTCTGTTCAGTAGGTAATTTAATTCCTTAAGTTTTCAGTAGTTCTTCAGATTTTTCTAGATTTCAGTGTGGAATGACTCTGCAATTCACGGGCATTATTAAATCTGTTCATAAGAAAAATTTCCAATTGAAGCAGAAGATGGTATAACTTTCCCCTCCCATTTCCACACTTTAATATGTCAAAATGCAACTCGAGGCAAAATGACTATTTGACCTAGATCATTCTTTTTTTCTCCTTTAGCAGTAATCATTATTTTTAAAATGCCATAGTACTTGAGCCTTTCCATTTTGGCTAAAGTTGTTTTATTTATTTTATGCCACCTGCGACCCTCCATAGTAATAGTTTGTTTTCCTAGCAAAGAGGTTGCTCACCAAACTGATTATGATTAAACCTTGAAGTTAGATGTCAGTAAGATGTACCTGTGAATTTATTTAAACATGATTAAAAGCTAAGTGGCATCAGATGGTTTGGCAAAACTTCATAGATAGGACAGAGAAGAAGCATCCCATAGATCAGCAGTCTCCAACCTTTTTGGCTTTGGCAGGGGGAGAAGACCCTACAAGTGGCAGGCACAAACATATTTATGTGAGCAACACACACACACACATGCCACTCGCGCAAAGGCAGCTTCAGCGCATGCACTCGCCCGCTGCCTGTGCAGCCTATGTTGAAACAGGCTGTGGCCTAGTAATGGGTCATGGCCCGGGGGTTGGGGAACACTGCGCTAGATCACAGAGGTAGGGAGTGGAACTCAGTATAGGTGTGTGAAATATGTAATATGTATATACAGTTCAAATACAAAGGGCCTTTCATCTTCTAGGCATTCACCTCTAAAAGTATGATTCAGTTTGGATTATCATCTGGGGTATAGTGTCTGACCCACAGGAGGCTATTACATATTGCAGGTAGTCCTTGACTTACAACAGTTCATTTAATCACTGTTCGAAGTTAAAACAGCACTGAAAAAGACCGTTTTTCACACTTACACTGTCATCAGCATCCCCATGGTCAAGTAGGATGCATAACAATTTGTTCATAGTTATGATGGTTGCAGTGTCCCAGGATCACGTCATCCCTCTTTGTGACTTTCTCATAAGCAAAGCAAATAAGAAGCATGTTAGTTAGTAACTTAACAACTGCAGTGATTCACTTAATAACTGTGGCAAGGAAGGTTGTAACATGGGGCAAAATTCACTTAAGTGTCTCACTTAGCAAGAGAAATGTAGGGTTCAATTGCAATTGTAAATCGAGGACTATGTGTACGCATGCTAAAAACAGGACCTCCTAATTATGTAACATTTAACTTTTAGGATGAAAACCAGTGGTGGGTTGCCAATTTTGTTACTATCGTTTCGGATGCGCTCCTTCACATGCACAACACTTCTGCGCATGTGCAGAAGTGTCCGGGCAGGTGGGCGGAGCCTCCCACCGCCGCTACTACCAGTTCGGCCAATCCAGGCCAAACCCACCTCTGCATGAAAACCTCTGACATATGTTGTTCATGTTACTTCTTGACTTGAGAAAGAGAGAGAAAGAGATGATTGACA